TACTATACGAAACCACTCATACAAAGCTAAAAGAGCTAATCAAATTAAAGATAGTGATCTTCAATATCACTACCAAAACCTATTCAATGCTAAACTAAACCAAGATAACATCCAATTGCCGGTAAAAACCACCAACGACTCTGAACTTACTATAAATGAAATGAATCAAAGTTTGAAAAAAATGAAAAATCAAACTACGCCTGGCAGTAATGGCATAACTAGCGAAATGATAAAGCAAGGTGGTGATAAACTAAATAACATACTACTGAAAATCATGAATCACATATGGAAAAATCCATGCACTATGCCAGACCACTGGATAGATGCAGATGTAATAAGTATATATAAAAATAAAGGTTTAAGATCCGACCCAAACAACTATAGAAGTATCTTCTTACTAGATACGATAGGAAAGCTATTTGCAGGCATAGTCTGCAATAGACTTGTCCAACTAACAGATAAATATCTCCCAATAACCCAATTTGGTTTTAGGAAAAATCTGTCCACAGTCCAAGCAATAACGACCTTAAGACATATAATTCAATCCTCTATAGACACAAATAGTACTATAGTCCTCACCTTTGTGGACTTAACTAAAGCGTTTGATACGATACCCAAACAAATAATCCTAAATACTCTAAATAAACTATGCCCTTCAAAAAATATAAACTCCTGTATAACCAAACTATTAGATGACCCCAAGGGTTATCTAAAAAATTCAGAACTAAACTTCACGATGAAAAGGGGAGTGAGACAGAGTAGTAAAAAAGGTCCGGCTATCTTTAACTTAGTCTTTCAAAAAATATTAGAACAAACGATAGACAAAACCCTAAAAGGAGTGACTCTTAAAGACCAATATAACAAGATTTCGACAATTAAACATTTAGAATATGCAGACGATTTATGCTTAATCACTAACACAACGGAGGAGGCTACCAAAGCCTTAAACCACCTACAACAATACTTAACCAGTATTGGTATGGAGATATCAATCTCCAAGACTAAATATATGTTAATAAATAAAAAAGCTATCACATCAAATGTCAAAATAAACAACAAGGATATCGAAGAAGTAGAATCCTTCCACTATCTTGGATCTACCATAAATAACAAAGGTACTCCGGATAGTGCTGTCACCTATAATATAGAAAAAGCAAAAAATGCAATAATTAAAATTAAACCAATACTTAAATCTAAAGAACTCAACCTTGATACCAAAGCCAAGATGGTGGATTCCTTAATAATCCCCATTCTCACATATGGTCTAGAATCAATAGTACTAAGAAAGCAAGATTGGTCTAGACTAGAAGCGGTGTTAAATACAGTAAGACGGATAATTCTAAATATAAACGATAGAAAACAATATACTGTTGAGCAACTTAAACTTAAAATAAACTTACCAAACTTAGCCAGTAAAATCATGCAAAACAGACTAAACTTGTGGTATGTAGCGCATAAAAGACCAAATAACCTAATGGTGAGGTCTTTAAATAGCAACTTTGAAAACCAGTGCAACAATAGGAAGGCCCATACTAAAAACTGGCTAAGACAACTATTTCAAGACATTAAAGAAATGGGTGAGCGCCTTCCTAGTAACTGGATAAACCAACCCAACAAGGTTAAAATAAACGCATATCAAGAGCACTTTCCAAAAATAATAGGGAAACGTCAGCTGAACCATGTATGCCAAAATGCAAACTGTAACAGAATGTTTGCTACAATTAAAGAAATGAACAGACACTTTAGAAACGATCACCAAAATAAAACTAATAAAGAGTCCCAATATAGCTGTCCCTTAACTGACTGTAATAAAACGTATAAGACGTTGGGTTGGTTAAATAGACACATGCAGTCATGCCATCCTTCGAATGCCGATGGTGCCGGTATCGGGCGCGATCAAGGATCGGCCTTGGTCAACATGTGCGGCAGAAACATGTGACTGCATACAATGACATTAAGCGATCGAAAATCGCAGGCAAAACAAAGAGCCGCTGGTGCAAAGAGGAGGAGGATATGCTGATTTGAAAGGCAAACGAGATTGCAACGAACAATCTCGCCCTAAACAAGAGCCGATTATATGATTCGGTGAGTACAGCTTTTCCGGGACGGTCTCGCGAGGCCGTAAAAAGACGTCTCATAAGACTTAGGTGGGTTCCTCATACCGTCGGGGAACCTGAGCTGCCTGATATCGTTCAGTCTCCAACGAGAGCTGAAACCCCGGTTGATGACGCCTGGCGCTCGAACTTATTAAGAGCGGTGATTGTATCGTGCGAGAAACGTCACGTGCTATATAAGCTAGCTTACGCCGTACTCACATCGGGTGTGTCGATTGAGCAAGGGCGTAGTAGGCTAAACGATTACGCGAAGCGGTCCTTCCCCGTTAACATTCGTGATCCGCGTGAACGGGCCCGGCCGAGGGAGCCCAATGCGTTAAATGCGAAACGGATAAATGCGCGTCTGCTACAAAAGCAGCTAACGAGTAACATGAGAAGAGGGGCACATAACGTCCTCTCTGGTGGGTGGAGAACGGCATATAAAGGGGTCCCACCTTTGCCGAGCGACTTCGAGGTGTACTGAAAAAACATCTTCTCTAGCGAAAGCGTTACTGATGACCGTCCGGTAGCGTCCAGGTGTCCCGTCGCCTGGTCCTTGGTCAATCCAATTACCGTCATGGAGGTCGAATCGGCCTTACGATCAATGGGTAGGTCAGCGCCCGGACCTGATGGCATAACGCCAAGGACATTGAATAAGCGAAAGTACGAGCGCACAACGGCGCTTCTCAACTTAATGCTCGCTCTGGAATCCGTCCCAGAGCATCTTAACTTGGCTCGAATGGTGTTTATACCGAAATGCGAATCACCCCAGTGTTCAGGGGATTATAGACCAATATCGATCACCTCAGTAGTGGTTCGATGTCTGCACAGCATCCTCACGAGGCGATGGAGTGAAACCATGCCGAGCCTCCACAACCAACTGGCGTTTTTGAAACGCGATGGATGCTTTGAGGGTGTCGTTGCAGTACACTCTATCCTACGCGAAGCACAGCTCGCTAGGAACAACCTGGTGATGACGTCAATAGACGTTTCGAAAGCGTTTGACTCCGTCTCCCATGACACAATAAAACGGGTCGCGCAGGCGTACGGAGCGCCGAAACCGTTAGTTGCGTATATTGCGAGTTCTTACGCCTCTTCCAAGGCGCTTATACGGGGCGTGGTTAGTCCAATCGGTAGAGGAGTCAGGCAGGGAGACCCGCTCTCGCCGCTTCTGTTCATCATGTGTATGGACGAGGTAATCAACCACACTACACGCGAACACGGGGCAAAGATGGGTAATCGTAGGATTGACTCAATCTTGTTTGCGGATGACGTAATGATATTTGCCGAATCCACTATCGGAATGCAAAACAAGCTTAACCTGCTTAATACTGGTTTGGAAAAAGCTGGTCTCCACATTAACTTACAAAAATCGCGCAGCCTGACCGTCGCTGCTGAGGGTAAATCTAAAACGGTATGTGTCATCCCTCACACGTACAACATAGGCGGGGTTTCCTTAGGCCCAATCAGCGTCTCTGACAGCGTTCAGTATCTGGGTATACGGTTCAACTACCGTGGAATCACAAAACAACCGTCAAGCATGATGGCTACAAAGCTTTTATGCGAGATTACAGACGCCCCCCTAACAGCGAATCAGAGGCTGACTCTGCTAAAACGTTATGCCCTACCCAAATTACACTATACGGGGCAACTAGGACTGGTAAGTAAAGCGGACCTGGAGAAAGTCGATCTCCTAATCCGCAAATCGGTGCGAAAGTGGCTAGGGCTGCCACACGACACTACCAATGGGTTCCTCCATGCGCGCATTAGAGATGGAGGAATCGGGGTCGAACCCCTATTTCCGCTGGCATTTCTTCGGCGATCACGCCGATTCGTTTCGTGTAGCACACGGGGTTGCGAAATGATGGAAGCCGTCCGAGTATCGGCGGCTTACAAAGCTATTGAGGGCAAGTCCTTAGGTGGTGTGTCTCTTGGCGGGTGGATGATAAACTCGTCGGACGACGTATATGACTTATGGAAAACGCGCCTCTATAGCACTCTAGACGGTAGCGGCCTTAAAGTCTCCAGCCAGAGCACATCGTCACATATATGGGTTACGTCCCCGAAAGGGATGTATCCCTGGATGTACCAAAAAGCGCTACAACTTAGGGGTCATACCCTGAAGACAAAAGCGCGCGAATCAAGGGGCGGTAGAGGAAACATAAACTTACAGTGCAAAGGGGGCTGTCGGAGGGTTGAATCCTTGACGCATATCCTTCAGGAATGCAAAGTCATTCAGCGATTGCGGATCGCTCGACATAATAGAGTAGTCTCGAAACTGGAAGGCTCGCTGAGGCGGGCGGGTTCTTCAGTGTTGCGTGAATCGTACACACCGTGCGGGGATAGTTATGTGAAGCCGGATTTGCTGGCATGCAGAATGGGGGCAATATTCGTTCTTGACGTCATAATCTGCAGCGATAGCAGACTGCGCGCATCCTGGAATGCGAAAATACAAAAAGATCGCGCTTAATAAGCAATTTAGACAAGCGTTCGGACTACGAGTAGGTCCTGTGAACCATTTACCGGTGGTTTTAACGATGAGAGGCGTGCTCGACGAAAGGTCAGATAGGGGACTGGCCCGAATAGGTTTAGCAAAAGAGACCATATCATGGCTCTGCGAACAGACGATTATCGGATCATTGATATGCTACGATGCCAGGGTACATGCAGTCCAGCACGAAGCCAGGTGCATGCAAGAATTCAACCACTGAAGCCTAGGGAGTTAACCTTTAAGCCAGGGTACATACAGTCCAGCACGAAACCAGGTGTATGCATGAGGATTTGCTACTATCGGGAACCACAAGCCCATGACCCTTTCATATAGGCATCGTAGCATATCAATGATCCGATAATCGTCTGTTCGCAGAGCCATGATATGGTCTCTTTTGCTAAACCTATTCGGGCCAGTCCCCTATCTGACCTTTCGTCGAGCACGCCTCTCATCGTTAAAACCACCGGTAAATGGTTCACAGGACCTACTCGTAGTCCGAACGCTTGTCTAAATTGCTTATTAAGCGCGATCTTTTTGTATTTTCGCATTCCAGGATGCGCGCAGTCTGCTATCGCTGCAGATTATGACGTCAAGAACGAATATTGCCCCCATTCTGCATGCCAGCAAATCCGGCTTCACATAACTATCCCCGCACGGTGTGTACGATTCATGCAACACTGAAGAACCCGCCCGCCTCAGCGAGCCTTCCAGTTTCGAGACTACTCTATTATGTCGAGCGATCCGCAATCGCTGAATGACTTTGCATTCCTGAAGGATATGCGTCAAGGATTCAACCCTCCGACAGCCCCCTTTGGACTGTAAGTTTATGTTTCCTCTACCGCCCCTTGATTCGCGCGCTTTTGTCTTCAGGGTATGACCCCTAAGTTGTAGCGCTTTTTGGTACATCCAGGGATACATCCCTTTCGGGGACGTAACCCATATATGTGACGATGTGCTCTGGCTGGAGACTTTAAGGCCGCTACCGTCTAGAGTGCTATAGAGGCGCGTTTTCCATAAGTCATATACGTCGTGAGATGAGTTTATCATCCTCCCGCCAAGAGACATCCCGCTTAAGGACTTGCCCTCAATCGCTTTGTAGGCCGCCGATATTCGGACGGCTTCCATCATTTCGCACCTACGTGCACTACACGAAACGAATCGGCGGGAACGCCGAAGAATTGCCAGCGGATATAGGGGTTCGACCCCGATTCCTCCATCTCTAATGCGCGCATGGAGGTACCCATTAGTAGTGTCATGTGGCAGCCCTAGCCACTTTCGCACCGAATTGCGGATTAGGAGATCGACTTTCTCCAGGTCCGCTTTACTTACGATTCCTAGTTGCCCCGTATAGTGTAATTTGGGTAGGGCATAACGTTTTAGCAGAGTCAACCTCTGATTCGCTGTTAGGGGGGCGTCTGTAATCTCGCATAAAAGCTTTGTAGCCATCATGCTTGACGGTTGTTTTGTGATTCCACGGTAGTTGAACCGTATACCCAGATACTGAACGCTGTCAGAGACGCTGATTGGGCCTAAGGAAACCCCGCCTATGTTGTACGTGTGAGGGATGACACATACCGTTCCCACATTCCCCTTATAGGTGAATATGGGCGGAACAACACAGCGCAATCCTTGAACATAAGGGTCACGAGTACCCTTTCTGAACGAGATAACACTGTCACGCCTTTCTTTTAAATTTCTTCAAGCTTTTCGGAGAGTCATTACTGCTCCCACGGCTACTGAAGCCTAGGGACTTAACCTCTAAGCCAGGGTACATACAGTTCATCACGAAGCCAGGTGCATGCAAAATTCAACCACTGAAGCCTAGGGAGTTAACCTCAAGCCAGGGTATATACAGACTAGCACGAAGCTAGGTGTATACCAAAGGAAATAATAAAGGAACATGTCCTCAAATCATTACGTCAAGCAGGGATAGGATTCAATGCCCCCCTAACAAGACAGGAAGTCGTCAATTGACGATTTAGTATCCTCACGCTCATACCACAATTAGATATCGTGTCGACCCCCGTACCCCAAAATCCGGAGCACGGTTTATGGTCATCGCTCTGGCATAACACCAGACCTAATGGGCCTAGCCGAACGCATGGTCCAGTCCAGACACCAAAAGGAATACGTAAGCTTGTCCAGCCACGTGTCGGATACAGGATGTACCGTTGCAAGATTTGGATGAGAATCAGACCTTGGGGCGATCAGTCCTTCTCTTGTCCCATCGACCAGGTACATTATCAGACGAGGCCATTGGCTATAAGCCAAGCCCGTTCCCTTGGCTGTGGTTTCGCTAGATAGTAGATAGGGACTAATTAGATGACGAGGCATTTGGCTACCTTAAGAGAGTCATAGTTACTCCCGCCGTTTACCCGCGCTTGGTTGAATTTCTTCACTTTGACATTCAGAGCACTGGGCAGAAATCACATTGCGTCAAAACCAATCAGTGGACATCGCAATGCTTTGTTTTAATTAGACAGTCGGATTCCCCTGGTCCGTGCCAGTTCTGAGTTAGCCGTCGCGCGCCAGACCATGGAAGTACAGCCGCTTGACGCAACGTGGAACAAGTCCTCGCGCGTTGCTAGCTGCACGACACTAACAGCTGAAACCGCCCACGATCGACCCGGGTCAGAGTCCAGTAACCTCACCACAACGCGCACCGAAGCACACAAAGCAGCAAAGAAACCAGCCCCCAACTGGACCGACACGTATCTGATCTCGGCCTGTCTGACTCGGCCCCCAGAGCCGAAGAAAAAGAAAAATTCTATCTCAAGCTAAAAGACACAATTAAAAAGCTTAAACTAAATAAACTTCCTATACTCATCCTGGGAGACTATAATTGCAGGCTAAGCCAGGACCTTCATACTTACTACCCTAACATTATAGGGAAAGCTATTAAACTTGAAACTGAAACATCAGAAAATGGCATGAAACTAATAAACTTATGTAAAACTTTAAACCTGCGAGTAATGAACTCGTTCATCACTAAACCAGAACACAGGACCCATACCTGGGTACACCTGAAGACCCAAGTGGGACATGTCATAGATCTAGTGATAACAGAAAATAATTCAAAACTATTGGTCTGTGATATTCATAACAGCCGTTCTATGGAAGCAAACACAGATCATTATATGATCACAACCATACTGAAACTAAAGTATCTAAATAATAATAAGACTTCTAATAATAAAAGTAAACCCAAAAGAAAACAGAGTAAGACGATCCACGCCTTGACTCCAGACTACCCAAAGATACTAGACACTTTACTCCAAAATAAATGCCAACTAAACCAAGTAGAAAGAGCCATAACTCAAGCAGCTAACAAAGCTGCTATCCCATATAAGTCGGCCACCAAGAGATGGCAGTATAACATAAGCAATCTATTAAAAGACGAAATTAAACATAGAAGACAACTAAGACTAAAGTGGCTAAATAACCCTACAGCTGCTAATAAAAGCCTCTATATGCAAGCTAGTAAAATAGTGAATAATAAGATTAAACTAGCTAAAGACCAGTATATCAAAGATAAAATGAATGAGATGAACACATACTTTAAAAAGCATGACCTGCACTTAGCATACAAAATGGTAGATGATATACTGGCTACTATACGAAACCACTCATACAAAGCTAAAAGAGCTAATCAAATTAAAGATAGTGATCTTCAATATCACTACCAAAACCTATTCAATGCTAAACTAAACCAAGATAACATCCAATTGCCGGTAAAAACCACCAACGACTCTGAACTTACTATAAATGAAATGAATCAAAGTTTGAAAAAAATGAAAAATCAAACTACGCCTGGCAGTAATGGCATAACTAGCGAAATGATAAAGCAAGGTGGTGATAAACTAAATAACATACTACTGAAAATCATGAATCACATATGGAAAAATCCATGCACTATGCCAGACCACTGGATAGATGCAGATGTAATAAGTATATATAAAAATAAAGGTTTAAGATCCGACCCAAACAACTATAGAAGTATCTTCTTACTAGATACGATAAGAAAGCTATTTGCAGGCATAGTCTGCAATAGACTTGTCCAACTAACAGATAAATATCTCCCAATAACCCAATTTGGTTTTAGGAAAAATCTGTCCACAGTCCAAGCAATAACGACCTTAAGACATATAATTCAATCCTCTATAGACACAAATAGTACTATAGTCCTCACCTTTGTGGACTTAACTAAAGCGTTTGATACGATACCCAAACAAATAATCCTAAATACTCTAAATAAACTATGCCCTTCAAAAAATATAAACTCCTGTATAACCAAACTATTAGATGACCCCAAGGGTTATCTAAAAAATTCAGAACTAAACTTCACGATGAAAAGGGGAGTGAGACAGAGTAGTAAAAAAGGTCCGGCTATCTTTAACTTAGTCTTTCAAAAAATATTAGAACAAACGATAGACAAAACCCTAAAAGGAGTGACTCTTAAAGACCAATATAACAAGATTTCGACAATTAAACATTTAGAATATGCAGACGATTTATGCTTAATCACTAACACAACGGAGGAGGCTACCAAAGCCTTAAACCACCTACAACAATACTTAACCAGTATTGGTATGGAGATATCAATCTCCAAGACTAAATATATGTTAATAAATAAAAAAGCTATCACATCAAATGTCAAAATAAACAACAAGGATATCGAAGAAGTAGAATCCTTCCACTATCTTGGATCTACCATAAATAACAAAGGTACTCCGGATAGTGCTGTCACCTATAATATAGAAAAAGCAAAAAATGCAATAATTAAAATTAAACCAATACTTAAATCTAAAGAACTCAACCTTGATACCAAAGCCAAGATGGTGGATTCCTTAATAATCCCCATTCTCACATATGGTCTAGAATCAATAGTACTAAGAAAGCAAGATTGGTCTAGACTAGAAGCGGTGTTAAATACAGTAAGACGGATAATTCTAAATATAAACGATAGAAAACAATATACTGTTGAGCAACTTAAACTTAAAATAAACTTACCAAACTTAGCCAGTAAAATCATGCAAAACAGACTAAACTTGTGGTATGTAGCGCATAAAAGACCAAATAACCTAATGGTGAGGTCTTTAAATAGCAACTTTGAAAACCAGTGCAACAATAGGAAGGCCCATACTAAAAACTGGCTAAGACAACTATTTCAAGACATTAAAGAAATGGGTGAGCGCCTTCCTAGTAACTGGATAAACCAACCCAACAAGGTTAAAATAAACGCATATCAAGAGCACTTTCCAAAAATAATAGGGAAACGTCAGCTGAACCATGTATGCCAAAATGCAAACTGTAACAGAATGTTTGCTACAATTAAAGAAATGAACAGACACTTTAGAAACGATCACCAAAATAAAACTAATAAAGAGTCCCAATATAGCTGTCCCTTAACTGACTGTAATAAAACGTATATGACGTTGGGTTGGTTAAATAGACACATGCAGTCATGCCACCCAAAATATAATCTAACTAAAGCTGAACCCAAAGCCAAAGTTCATAAAATAAACTTTAAAAACGTCAAAAATAAATGTCCATACCCAGGCTGCAACAAAACTTTACCAACTAAAAAAGGTATAATAAATCACTGCTATGTAGTACATAGGTGGTCGGCAATCACCGGACAGGAAGTAAAACCAAAGACAAAAAATAATGCAAAAACAGCTATTGCGCCCCGGTAGTTGTGCCGTGCTTCGATGTAGCCTCTTCTCCAGAAGGGCCTACTAGGCTTCACCAACTAGTTTGGCTGGAAGGGGCACCACAGGGATAACTGGCTTGTGGCGGCCAAGCGTTCATAGCGACGTCGCTTTTTGATCCTTCGATGTCGGCTCTTCCTATCATTGTGAAGCAGAATTCACCAAGCGTTGGATTGTTCACCCACTAATAGGGAACGTGAGCTGGGTTTAGACCGTCGTGAGACAGGTTAGTTTTACCCTACTAATGAGTACATCAGTGAAGTACAATCTGGCCGTTGCTATGGTAATCCTGTTTAGTACGAGAGGAACCGCAGGTTCAGATAATTGGTATATGTGCCTGGTCGAAAGGCCAATGGTGCGAAGCTACCATCTGAGGGATTAAGACTGAACGCCTCTAAGTCTGAATCCCGTCCAAATTTGCAACGGTACATTCTGTATCCGACACGTGGCTGGGCAAGCTTACGTATTCCTTTTGGTGTCTGGACTGGACCATGTGTTCGGCTAGGCCCATTAGGTCTGGTGTTATGCCAGAGCGATGACCATAAACCGTGCTCCGGATTTCGGGGTACGGGGGTCGACACGATATCTAATTGTGGTATGAGCGTGAGGATACTAAATCGTTTGTAGACGACTTAATGTTTTGCCTTCATCATCAGTAACCACACAAACATCACATCTCACTTCAATTAAATAAATGGTAGAATTGCAACATTAATGGTCCACTTTAAATCAACAAATCAGTCGCTCAACGTTGTTGGATGTTATGCCTCGACAGAATCTTCAGAAGATGACAATCAAAAGGACAACTTCTACATCTCACTAAAAAAGACAATCATGAGCATAAAACAAAACAAACTACCAATAGTCCTAATGGGTGACTTCAACTGCAGACTTAGCCAAGAATTACACACTATGTATCCCCACATTATTGGCAATGCAATCAGACTAGAAGAAGACACCTCACCAAATGGCATCCGATTAACCAACCTATGCCAGTTAACCAAATTAAAAGTCATGAACACATTCACACAAAAACCACAAAACAAATCAATCACATGGATGC